AGCGAGTTAGCGGATCGCAATCCGCTTACTCCGAGAGTAATTATTGCCTTCCGAAGGCTAATTGACTCTTCGGTTTAAAACCCAAAACTGATTTTTATTTAATTTTTATCCTAATTCTAGAGATTTAGATTTTCCTAAATATACTAAATATATATGGTAAAATCTAAATTCATGCATAACTACTGGCTACCTAGCAACATACCGTATTTTTGTTTGGGTGCAGTCACACCATGCACATCTGGTGTGACACACACCCCTGTTACCAGGTCGCCAAAATGCTAAAATGATCCTAATGAGGGGGGAGGCTGGTGTGGCGCAATGTATACATCACCCGAGGGATACCGTGATATTTAAAGGAGCAAACGTGACTGTAGAAGGCAATGCATGATAAAATGTTCAACAACCGGTCTGAAGCAAATTCGAATCATCGAGAGCGGGAGCAGACATAATAATAAAAGGTACTCGTCTGATGCTATACCACAGCGCCATTCGAAAGCTGCCACCACAAGTAGCTTGTCCCGTCCAGCCTCCCGCCTCAGACGAGGAGCCGGCGTTGCTAACCAGGTTGAGGACCTATCAGATGCGTTAAAGGCGAATTTGGCTCGTCTCTGCCAGACATAAGTCATGTTCGCTATATTGTTAGCTATGTTACTTTCCAATCAACAAAAGTGCCGTTCGTAAGCTGTTCAAATAGTACATTTAGTTGATGAGAAAAAGCCATACTGTCCCGCTCATCTGTCCTTTTGGCGAAAGCAACAGAGTTGTTTCAACAGTGTAAGTGGCTCTGAATCGCTGAGCACCAACCTCTATCACAAGAAATTTACAAGTCATTTTGTTCGACTCAGTTTGCTGAGCACATGTAACGGCCTTGTGGTTCAATCAAGCACGCCAAAGTAGTGTCCGCATGTACACTATCGCGAATCTCGCCAAAAGCTCTCTCTAGTCTTTTCATCCCAGCATCACTTCCACCTCTCTGTCCGGGTACACCGGAAACTTGATGGCAAAAGTGTCGAAATGTAGCTGGATTTACACCAACGCGAAATTGTTTTTCGTTGATGGGTCGTCGGTCAGACAGGTCGCAATCTTAATCGTTGTAAGCCGAATCAACAAAGACTCGAGAAGGCGAGTATGCCCTGAAGACTTTCGTATTGGGTCTGTCCAGGTTGCTGAGTCTCCAACGCCAGCATTCTCTCACAATATTTATCCAAAAGGCTGCGTTGAGAGGTCGAAAAACCAGCAACAGTCTCGGTTGCAGTTCGATTTGATGGCTTATCCGTGGCCCCACCATCGACAGTTGTCTTTTTTGTGAAAATAGCAACGCAAGCCATTCAAGTATGCTGCATGTGGGTGTAACTGGTTTCACTCTAAGTCGGCGGCATTCAGGGCAAGCAGTTTAACGAAAAGTTGCTAAAGCCTTTGTATAATTCTCAAATTTGACGTGCCATAACTAAACATACTCACGACTAAGGAACCGAGTTGCAAAGTTTAAATATTAACTTGCATGCCTACGCTGTTCAAGTTTGATCTGATGACATTTAGCTAGAAATTCTTCATAACGCGCCATTGGATGTTGAAGCAGGGCGTGATCAGATCAGCAAGCATTTCGTGGTGGTCGTTAATTTTTGTATTTTAAAAGACAAAAGTATTTAACTGTGCATATGTGACGCAATTGTACGATATACTTACAACAGCACAAGAACGGAGCCAACAACGAGTATTTTGTTCACAAGATCTCTCCGGCTCAAGATTTGGTGCAGAAAGCAAGAAGCCACTTTTGGAGTTGAAAAAGGGTTTCATATTCTTGCTGCTGCAATTACGCGTACAATCCACAGTCACATCACATACAAGAATTACACAGCCTTGACGAACGGATAAGACGGTGTGTTGGACTTCATCTCTGAAACAAAGCTGCATCCCCGTTATCGAGATAAGACTTGATTAGCGATTTTCCGCAGTCAAACACCATTTCTCTCTCAACACGATCCTTTTGCTCCAGAAGATCAGCTTTGTCGGTCTCATACAGCCTAAGGTAAAGTGAATGCAACAAGACTCTAGCTTTTTCGCTAATTACTACTTGAACCTAAGTCAGGACCATGTGCGCGCAAGGGTATGGCAATAGTTGGGACGAGGCGGGTAAAGGGGTTGGCATTACGAGCTACGATACAAAGTGACACGAGCTGAACACCAGCAAGTCATCTACCAACAACTCGGGTGGTTTGTGTATGTGATAACGGCATTGTCAATTTTATGCTTCATTCTTACTCTAGCGGTGACAGCTGGTTACTCAACACTTTTTTTACTTCTGATGAATAACGACGTTTGAAGTGAAGGAAGGGCAAGCAAACAATCAAAATGTTTTCACCCATTCCGGACACAGACTTAATTCAACAAAGACAGCCGAAGCCTAACACCGCGAAAGAAGCTTTGAGATACACCTAGGTGCGATAGCATGAGATCTTAACTGAATCATTCCTCGAAAAAAGAGGGCGCGATTAGCTGATCAATTTCTCATTTTCTCACAGTGCACAAGAAGATGGCAAAATATCCTCCCAAAATACTAAAAATTGTGTTAGAAGCAAGTGTATCAGGTCGGAAAGCTATTCAGGATTTGACTATGGATGAGTAGAGCAAAGCGAAAGAAAATTCCCATTCAAGGTTTCTTAAGGGATCTATCGGGAGATGCTCGCGACGAGCAGCCACCCAAAAGGTTGATCCTTCGGCATTGCCTGATTTTATGCTGTTTCGTATTCTTAAGGAAATGCTGTAAATAAAAACGAAGCGCTTGTTATAAAGAGCACCACATAAGGCTCGTTTTTCTCGCCAGCACTCTTCTTCAAATCGTCTGTCTACAGCCGTCGTTTTTGGCCTCATCAAATGTAATTGGTCAAAACGACTACATTGCGTCTTGTTGACGCGGCTTTCTCTTGCTGAATGAGCGTGCAATTTTCCGTAAAGGAGTCGGGTGCATTATAATTCACAACAGACAATTCTCTCCATTTCAGCCTTACTATAGCTTTGCGTAGTGTACCGTTTGCATAAGACATTGGAAACTCGTACGCGCGTCACCCGAGCTGACCACCTTGTTCTCCTCTTCAAAGTCTCGCGTATGGTAAAATGTGCACGCGGTTGGTTCATGCGCTTGTTTACTTGTGTATTATAGCGATCTCTGCCAGTTCTTCAGGCTCTAACAACTCACCTGCAAGTGGCATTCTTAATACGCTGACCACGAGCTGCAATGGTGGCTGCAGAAGCAATGGCGCCTGTGTAATCGTGGGCCAATCCGGATACAATTTCGTCAACTGCGTAAACGACATTAACTGCATCACGTTGTCGTCTGGTCAATCTGCGCTTTGCCTCAATGCTTTCAGTTCGATGAAAACTGAGTGGGTCTTTCAGCCCGGTGAGAGCAATGACACAGCAGGAGTCGGACCCTTTGAACGTGTTGGATTGCTGCAGCTCGACGGCAATGTGACAGAGTTAACATTCAAGAAGGCAGAAGAAGAACAAAGACCGCTCTTTGGATCTCTAGAACTCGCTTCTATGAACATACAACCAGATGCTACACTGGATAAAGTGGCGTTTCAAAATTTGAGTCTGTCTGGACTAGACGACGTAATGCCTCTAAACAGGGTTAAACGAATGTAAGCGGCTCTTAAGCAAGTGAGACGAAATGAGGATTAACATGACCACTTGGCGTGTAATAGATATTTTAACAACTGCTCACTACGTGCAATTCCTGCAGTCGCTGTAGCTGGTGATTCTGTCACGGTCATGTAAGATATCGCTTTGGCGCAAGTATTTGCGATTTGATGTGTCTCACTGAATTTGTTGTTCTACTGTTCTAGTGATCTAGCTGGCAATGCCATCAACACTGTGGACACAAAGTTTCAAAATCGGAATTCAACTAATCTTACTATGCTGTGCGTTAACACTGCGCACTTATTTTCTTGCTGTGGCTAAAATCAAATTCATTTCGTTTCGTAGTGATTTATCCTCCAACGCGCTTACAAACTTTAATCTTGTCGCGAATAACTTTCCAGCCCTTACGAGTTTGTAAGTTTTTTTGTGCTGTATGCTTGGTCATGCCCCTTACTTAGCTAAGAGTATTCAGATATCTGCACGGTAACTTATTACAGGCAATTCCCAATGTGATTTTTGGTCTATCGACACTCCAGGAATTAACACTAAGTGACAATCCCATAAACGCATCGGGTCTTACAACGCAGCAACTGACATTTCTATCAAATTTGCGCAATTTCACGATCGACGGTTTGACCAACACAAGTGAATGTCCAACAGCTGCAGTGCAACATGCGTTGAAGACTTTTTTTGTATTTTGCGTGGGGGTTGCTGAGGCTGTTCCATTCAACAACAGTATACTCACCGAACAGCCACTGACAAGTGCGCCTGTGGTGACCGAGAGTAAAGCATCATCTTCTTCATCACACAATACTTGGATTATACTTGGTGCGTGTCTTGGGGCTCTATTGCTTCTGTTCCTTTTGGGTATCATCTGGTGGTGCTATCGCCGTCGAAGGGATGAACAGCCGAAGCTTATGAATAGTATGACACCAACGATTGGTATTGGAATGGGCGACTTGTCTGAACATCCATACATGGGACTAGGAGCTCCCTTTTCCAATGTTTCGAGTCAAACATCGGCAGACTTCGAGTTGCTTGCCTCTGTGGCAGACGGCTATATTGGACTTACTCGACTTTCTTACGACGATGTATTTCTCCACAAGATGCTGCGGGTAAGTAGCCGTAGTGAGTTGTGGCTAGGCGAATACAAGCAAAGAAGTGTGATCGTTAAAAAGATCAAAAGTAACACCGCATCAAAAGCATTACTCCGGGCCTTTGTGACTGAAATTGAGCTGATGTTTGAGCTCAAACACCCTAATATCGCGGTTTTCAGAGGCGCTATGTGGGATGCAGATGGTACAGAGCTCTGCGCAGTGGTTGAGTTTGCCGAAAATGGTGCTTTGCGAGACTGCACTGTGCATAATGAGATCAATTTTTCCGTTTCGAAAAAGTACGATATTGCCCGGCAGGCCTCAGCAGCAGTGGCGTTCTTGCACAAACAAAATATCGTTCATGGTCGCTTGAGTGCGTTTAATATTCTGTTGGACAAGAACTATTCTGTTAAGTTGAGTCTCTTCAGCATCTTTCACTATGTGAAGCTTTCACCTCTAGACAACGAGTGCAGGATTTTCGTGGCTCCGGAAATTTTGCGAGGCGAGCAGCCGTCAGAAAGGTCAGATGTTTATTCCTTTGGTATAGCTCTTGTAGAAATCGACACCGGGGAAACTCCAGTGATGGACGCTCGAAGGCTGTTGATGGATCGATCGAATTGCGATGTCAACGTGTCCTACACAGCAATGAAGATAGGGTACCGCTTGAGTAATCTTTGTTCTGAAGTGATGAAGAAAGTCATCATTGCTTGCCTGGAGAAAGACCCTGTACGACGGCCGTCGATGGATGAGGTGGTATTGACTTTAAAAAATGCAGCGATAAAGCTGTAAGCTACCGCTCGACACATCGTCGTTCCCAATGTATCGTGGATATCTGATCATGCAAAAAGACTTTGCCGACAACGCAGCATCAAAAGAACGCAAACTCGCATGATATCCTACAAGCTACCACTGAGCAATAAATTATTTTTGGATCGATTCTTCCGGGATTGAAATTTACATACCAAGTGCTTCAGCTTATGTATATACCACGTGCCTCCCACTCTTTGATCATGGAACTATGCTTCATGAGCCTTTAGTACATTTCAAGTAATGTAGCACGACTGATTCATACATGTGCACATCGCAAAGGATAGACGGGAAACTGTGCAGAATAAGCGGACGATTGAAAGTAGTTAAGGGTGAAAACGGCAAGCTTGATGTTGCCCAGCACATGAAATTTTTCATTTCTATGTAAACCCTTGCAATTTATCCCGTGGCTGATTTTCGCCTTGAGAGAATCGTAGTTGCGATAAGAAAATTGTGTGTTTCTCAGCGGTAAAATTTAGTTTCTGCAACGGCTTACAAAGATTGTGCTCTTTAAAATTTATCTGTTTACTGTTGTCTCATGCTGCGAATATGCATCCATACCGTTCATGTTAGCATTGCTAATACATAAGTTCTCTTTCGCTGCTTGTTCGAAGTGCCGCATCTGTAATGGTGCATGTTTTGTTTCTTTTGTGTTCGTCACGTGATTGTTTGACAAAAAACGACGCATTTGAAGTGAGTTACCCACCAAAATTTCAGCTGTTCAAGAGACAACCCGATAAAAAATTAAGATTGCCTTTTTTTAGCTCGACGTGCGTCAAAGTATCATAACAATAAATATACTCGCGCCATTCTACTGTTCAAATTTTTTTCTACAGTGGGTCCAAAGTGCGCGCGAAGCCTCCGAACATTTCTTGTGATTTTCTGCACATACTTTGATAAAGTGCGAGAAAAAAAATTATCGTGGCGCAGTGATGTGTGATGCATCGGCGCTTGAGGCTTGGTGTAGAGAGCATACGTTACCGTTGCGTTCGTAAGCTGGCTTGCGACACCCTTCTACTACACATCGTTTGCCTAATTCAAAATACAAGTGGCAGTCGATGAATGTGGACAATACGGAAATTTGAAGTAAGATGTGGCTAGCTCAAGAATGCCAAGATTTCTTGCAGTATTGTATACAGCTTACCTCCTCCATGAGCCCAGCAAAGACCGTGAGATACTGCCGTCTTGGTACAGCTGGCCTCGCTGCATTTGCGGCCTTAGTTTAAAATAAACGTAGAATTTAATTTTTTTGATGAAGTCCATTGTAATGTTAGAAAAAATAGTCTTACCTCCACCGTGAGACCAGCAGACGCCGCGAGACTTAGCACGATTTTCGCACTCAACTACTGTGCACTTGGTTGAGCCACCTGCAAACATTTCGCACCATTGTCAGAGCAAATCATGAATCCACCATTTTCCGCAATTGTCAACGTTACCGTGTTTCCAGCACACACCCAAATTTTTAGCACTACTCGTGCACCCCACAACAGCGCATCGCTTCCCACCCTGTTTTATGCAGATTATTTGATATGCATCATTTTTCGTGGTGAGAACAGAGCAGATAAATTAAAGCAATCAACTTCAACGTACACCGTGACCAATACAAAGTCCACGATTTACCACGTAGCGCGTACAATTTTCAAACTTACAAATGCGAGACTTCTTTACTGTCACTTTCATTCCCTTTGGAAGTGACACATCAACTGCCAAGTTCTCCGTCACCGAAACACTTGAAGCAACCATAAGATTAGCTGCAACACGAATCAGCAAGTCGCGAATCAGCCCGCGCCAATTGTAAAGGAATTGATGGATACATGCAATTTGAAGCGGTTGTCTATGACGTTGTTGTACCGTAACTTACCAAAGCTAGCACCAGCAGAATGGGTCTGATCCTCATCTACATTACCGCCAAGGATAAAGGCAAGTGAGCTTTTACTGGCCACTGCCACAGCTGTCGCAGCATCGTCCGAATTCATAATGCCCGCCGATCGGTGCCGGTTAGCGGCCAATTGTAGTGCGGGAACAGATGCTGCCGGGGAATCCTGATGGGCTACTCGCTCTAGCCACGAAGTACTCATGTTAATGTCGTCGGAATTAGCTGACTTCTTCATGCAGGAGGATGAGGGCTTGGGAGAGGCAAAAAGTAGCATTCACAGCTGAGATAGGGAGGGCGAGAAGAGTGGAGAGGACACGCAGAGATACTCGGCTGCGAGTGAAAAGATTAATTACTAAGCGGCTTGTAGCAATCTACACAGCACTGTTAATGGTCCCAGAACCAGTGCTCAAGTCGCCTCTGTATACTTTCACAGAGAAAAGGCGCATTTGACTGCCCAGCAATTTACCAGCTGAACTACTGATGTCCACTGATCCGCTGTTTGTGGATGCATACACTCTTAGATTTTGAAAGGGGACTAACGTATGTCATTAAGAAACTTGCTAATTTGGCCAAGGCTTGTTTCTGTTGTGCCCCTAACGAATAACCAGTAGCGCTCCGTATGGCTGACATGCTTGTCATCTGTAATCTAAGATAATTACTCTTATTCAGCTATAGCAGCAGCGCAGCGCAACGTCGAGCCCAGAATCAAGCCAAAACAAAAGTAAGTAAGGCCAAGAATTGCACCGCTAGTCAAAATATAGAACTAGAATTTCTCAAAAAATACAATTGCTCGGCTAAACTGAAATTAGGCTTTGCCATACAGTATTTACCTGCTGTTCCTCCTGATGCCTGATCAAAATCGGGATGTTTTGCAGCGTAATCCTATGTCATTAATATCGAATATTTATACATTATGATTGCACGATGTCCAATTAAAGGTTGCATTGTACAATCAAGAGAAATGGATCGCTTTCTTTGTTACCCTTGCAGAGGTTTACGAGTCTTAGCTTCTGCATGTAGAAGATCATTGCGAATTTGCTTGGGGGCAACAAAAAGAGAGGTAGTTCTTAAAGTATTACTAAAGGTAAAAAAAAGTTTTCGCCGAAGAAAACCAAGATTTCGCTGTACATAAACTCGATTTCGTCATCGCCAATACCAGCAGTTGTGACAAAAACGACTTACCATCAACAGGCCTCGATAGGATTGTCTTATAACGCAACCGCATTGATGTCCGTAATGACGTCAGAGATGCTTTGTCAGGGGCTTGCTGATCTTGTTCAAAAGTGGTGCTGAAGGCACGTGATCCATGACACAGTTCTAATCCGACCCATGTTTGCATAGCATCCCACGCCCGTATCTCTTCCAGCATCCCAGGCCAACAAAGGCGAAATTGTTGGGGTTTGACACATCATTATATGCTCAGTCACATTAGTCACATGCTTGTACGTTGTCTTTTATTTGAATTATTAGTGGGGGTCACAACTCTTATTGTGTGCAGCTTCTAAGTTAGCTTGACACAGACAAACGTACAAACAAGACCGTCTTGTTTTAACACTTTTGATATGATTTAAGGCCGTTCTGGAAATGTTCTATCTTCTTTCAAATATCAGCGTTACTTCGTAATACCGTACAATTCTCTTTGTTTAGGATTCTATCCTTTGAGCCTTAAAAGAATGTTCCAGTAAGTAGAAAGGGCTATTGTACATTTTTTAATCAATGTCGTCGGCCTATATATGCAGCATGGCTGTGATGTAGGACGCGCTGGGGCGTAGCGATGGGTCGTATTGCAAACATGCACCTGCCAGCTCTCGCACCGCCGTGGGACATTCTGATGTGAATGTAAACATGCTCATAAAACTAGTATTGTTGTTGTCGTTGGTACCGAGCACAGGAGTTGTTCTTCGCCGCTTTTCTTCCAACGTGAGACTGCGAGAACTTTGTAGCGAACGATAGCTACTATAGCTGGGTAAGCTTTCTAAATGAGTAGTGCATCTTCGCACATTGTCCACGTCAGAAGTATCTGTCGATATCACTGTTCCGTCAGCTGAAAGAAGAGTGCCGTTGTCTGTATCAAAGTTTCCGATGTGAGTGCGCATTTTCCATGAACTTCTGATCATCTCATCTGCAGTCTGGCATGTGTCAAGATGTGCCAGCAGCACACCAAACGCGTACATATCGGACGATGACCGAGATGGCCCACCAACTAATATTTCAGGGGCAAAATATGCTTTTGAGGCTGTATCGCAACGGCGGAGATATGATTGGCAACTGTAACGAGATGATTCGTTCGTCGCTAGTGCTGCCTGCATAGGGTTCAGTTTACAGCCTTTACTTGGATCTACAAAGACGCTTTTCCCATTGAGTCCATCATACGTGACCATATGCTGATTGTGTAGGTACATGAGCCCACGAGCGATTTCAGCAGCTGCTTTCATCTTAAAGTTCATCCAATTCAGTCTAGAGCCGGAACTTCGGAGATACGCTTCAAGAGTGCCGAGCGTCATGTATTCACAAACTGCAGTCATTGCTTGTCGTTCGTCCCAAACAACTCCACATATCGAGAGTAATTGAGGGTGACGCATCCGTGATAGAACCGGCATCATGTCTAGAGCAGCTTCAATATCATCATCACTGACTCGAAGTTTTGTCACAAGCACCAACTTTGTTTGGTACTCAGCCAGGGCAACCAACACTGGTCCAGGAGCTGACAATTCGTTCAGCGTGACCACTTCACCCGCAGGGATTTCTTCAAAGGCAGCTTTGCGCAGTCCTCCTCCTTTAATGTCATACTCGTTTAACGAAGCTTCAAGATCTGAAGTTTGGGCTGTGCCATTCACACCCATTCGTGCTCGAAGACCCCTCAGACTACTTTTGAGTTTGGTATCAACCGCCACAAGTGAATCGTGCTGTCCCTTTGCAGCCTTTTGCTTCCATCTTCGCAAAAGCAAAACACCACCAAGTATGGCTACCACTATGAACACCACGAGTCCAAGAATAACACCCACCACATCTGAGCTGTCATCGCTTCCGCTAGCAGGAAAAGCAGTGCTTTTTTCCGTAGATTCTGATCCATCAATGCTACCAAGACTATCACCGTTAGTGTAGCAGACGCTCTTGCCATTCCATGATATAGTATCATAACCCGCAGAGCAGCTTCCACTGATTGTCAAATTGGCTTCGAAAACGGGTAGTTTTTGCAAATAAAGAAGTTGCGGCAGGGTAACGTGAGCATTGACAATCATGTTGCCTTGTAGATAAAGAGCTGACAGATTGCGCATTTCATATATAATGGTTGGGATTTCAGACAGATCATTGTCGCAAAGATTTCTATCGTGTACCGCTAAAGTAAGAATTATCATCAAGAATTTCATACAAAATAGACAGACGTACAATATGGACACCGAAGTGAAAGCATGGGAACCACGGGGATCAAACTGATTAAGGTGCGCCCGCTGAATGATACTTAATTAGTTACGTCAGTATGTCAAGCAGAGAAATCATGTGATAATAACCTTACAGTGTATGAAGCGAGTCCGGGAAAATATTTGTCATCAAACCTCCAACATTAACGTCAGAAATTGCACTATTTGTCACATATGATAACATAAGTTGTTGTGAGACTAGTGCATGCATACGTCACACACTTACAGTTGCTGCAATGCTGTGCCACTCCGAAACGCACCGGGCAAAAAAGATAGCGGCACAGATATTTGGGAGCTCGATGTTGCACCAACAATAGACCTAAAAGCAGAGCGTCAGACAAGCTGCTACTCATCACTGAAAGCGGTTTAAGCGCACAATTCTTGCAGAGTCGACGGCAACTCTAATATGTCAATCTCCTGAAAAAGTGCGGTATCCGTCTTGTCGCTTTGGGGTTTAGCGACTGTCAACGTCCAGTGAGGCTGACTCCAGCTAGCAGGCAACTCCACTAGACACTGCACTTGGCAGTCTCCAGAAGTCACATTCGTCTTGCATGACGGCATGTTTGACGCCGCGCAGCCTTGATAAAAGAAGCCAGCTTCGCTACTTTCTTTGTTCCTATCCTCCGCTGTTGACAAGGCATAGACTACGCATAGCGAAGACCTGCAGACTCCATAGCAGTTGCTCGAAAGCGTGCTGTGGTCCGGTGACATGCACACATCGGTAGCCACCGCAAGACCGCGAGTGCTCCACATGTTTTCACTGTTCACACTTCTTCGATCTAGACTTCGTAATTAATTTGGTTGATGAGGACAAAATGGCATTCAGTCAGGCTTAGGAAATTAAATATCACGATCCTCTCGCTCAAATGTTAGTATTTTTCTCAGTATTTAGCTACGCAATTCGTAGCCAACAGTCGCTAATCCAAATGTCACACTACACACACTACACCGGCCGAGCGACATGTGTGCAAAAACATGTGATAGCAAGCTAACATTGGTAGAAATGGAGCGCATTAATACATTCGTTTTCTGATCAAAATGTTACTTGTCTTCTTTATGTGTAAATCGTTACATCGTAGGCTACTCCGAACGCAGACGAAGTTCTGGTTACAAGAATATTCTTGCTGCATAATTGAAGCTGTTGCGTTTCATGCTGTCGAGTGTTGAAGCGACGACTCACTGAGTGCATGATGTCTGGAGTAAGCAGTCCAGACTACTATTATTCGTGGTGTGATGTACCGCGTTTGAATTAGCGACCATCGCAGGAGGGCTTCGTAGTAAAACAAGCCGTCTGATTAGATTCAAACAGTAAATGGATACAGTTTTTCCCTGGTCTGGATGGTTAAGTATATTGAACATTCGCGCTGACGATCAAACAGAAGTATCCTTATTTTACAAACCGTTTTTTTGTATCAAAGAAATGTTATTTCTTCGGTACGCTATTTTCGCTTCAAAATAACAGATTGTTAGACTTGCAAGGCTTACGCTGAGTTAATAGCAAGTCTCACCAGTCGTAGAGTACGCCGCTGTTTGATATACTGTTATGAGTGCCCGGAAGCTGCGCGAAGCGATAAAAACAACACCTCGAGGTAATTGCCCAGGATTTGATCATCGATGTTAAGTTTGTCAACCTTACAACAAAGTATTACGTACTCGAAGCTTTTGAAAATGAGCACGAGTATCTTCGACAATATGTAGATCCAGTCCTGATGCCACTCATTGAGTCGCTTTTGCTTTATCAACCAGAAAGCGTCTATCATTTTATCCACGACTTTGTAGACGAGAGCAAGAGTACCCGCTTCACACACCGTTCCAAGAGTGTAGGCTACGCCAAGAAGCTCACCACTCGCCGCAGGATGGCGGATTTTATGTCAACCAGCGTAATTCCTATCATGGATGATCTGGCCAAACAAATACTACGCGAGAAGCCATACTCCGTCAAAGGTGAGACCAAAAGATTGCATTAGCTTGTAAAGTATTCCTTATCATTTTACTAGAATTTATACGAGAGATAGTTGCGGCACGTATTTTCGTTGAGCTGAAAGAAACTTCAAAAGATATGTCAAATCGACTTACAGCCACTTTGTTTAATGTAAACGACCGCGTCTTGTGTCGGTTTAAAGGTCGACCACGATATTTACCCGCCGTTATCACTGAAGTTAATGAGAATGGCAATTTTACAGTCTTGTACGATGATGGAAAGTTGGAAAGCAATGTTCATTCAATGTGCCTAAAACAGTGCATCAATGACACAATAAAAGACGCAGACAATCAAGAAATACCGAAAGCCACTCGCTTAATAGATATGGTACTTCTGATTATTGGAGTCGACGGGGCTGGCAAGACGACACTGTTATCCACTTTGCAAGGAGATTTGGAGAAAGAACATGTGCCAAGTGCTGGCTTTACCTCGGTAACATTTCAGACAGAGACAGGGTCGGCTACTTTCTTTGATCTTGGAGGCGGTCCAGCGTTTCGCAACGTGTGGAAGGAATATTATGCTGACGTATGTATTGCTAAATTGAAGCTATTCTATGTAAATTCTGATTTAAACTTACACTTTGATTTTGCTCAGGCTCACGGTGTGATATTTGTCGTTGATTCATCGAGTGAGAGCTCTGTGCTTCAGGCAGCAAATGTGCTCGAAGCCGCAATGACAAATGAGCTTATGATTAACAAGCCGTTGCTCGTGTACGTGCCTCCGTTGCTGTTGTCCTATGATAGTAATTTACGTTCGGTTTTGCATAGTTTCGCCAATAAACAAGATCTTGCTGATGCAATAGCAGAGTCAAAGATGGGAGATATACTGCGTATAAGCAAATCATTCAATTCCAAGATCGTTCCGTGTGTAGCCAAACCAGCAGTGTACGGTCGAGTAGACGAACGATTGGAAGCAGGACTTCAGTGGCTTTTCAACCAAGTTCACAAAGACTATGATAGTTTATTCGAGCGTGTCCAAAGGGATCTTGCTCAAAAAAAAAAGCTCGATAAACAGCGACGGAAAGAACAGCGCGCGCGGGTTACACGTTGGAAAGAAGAACGTGAGCTTAGCCAGATGTGTATGCACGACAAAGTGATTTTGGGCGAGGACCACGTTTTGTCGTTTATACCGGTTGTCGAAATGCCTGAAGACGACGTCATATACTGCTCAAACTGCAGCACGGTACCAGCAGTAACAAAGTGCTCAGCGTCGAAATGGATGCCTGTTTGCGAGACCTGTGCAACCAGCCTTAAGAAGCAATGTACGTTACGTGAAGTGTGAACCATCCTTTAACATGACAATATCTTTGATTCAATTTCGCATTTTTCCTTTTTTGCAACGACTTCGTTGACCCTCTAACTCATCTTGAGCTTTTTTTATGCAAGCATTGGTTATAATTTTTTTGACGTTCTCTTTTTTCTTATTCTTGCGCATATCTTTGCGTTCCCGGCGTTTTTCGGCTGCCCTGTGCTCTTTTTCGAGCCTTAATTGCTCAGCCTCTGCCATCTTTCGCACTGCTTCCTCATGATCTTTGATCTTCTCAGAATCGATACCGTCGCGGTTATGTTTGATTTCGTCTGGTATGGGCTCCGTAACAAAAGTTTCATCGATATTTAAATCAAGCTTTGCTTGTTGAAGATCTTCTTGCAAAGATTTGTCCATTTCCTCGTCATTTATGCTAAATTTGCAAAACACGCCAAGATTCTCCTCTTTCTCACGGTGTTTCTTCGATACAAGGTGGTTTTGCAACTGTTTCGTGGACTTGAACGTCTTACTGCACAAATCACATATCAGCACGCTCTTATCCAGTTTCATTCGACGCTTTTCGAGCTCTAACATAATATCTCGGTCAGCAAGTCGACTAGTATCCATTCTACTGGCAGCCCACAGCTCTTCCTGTTGCTCCTGAAAAGCACGACGCTCGGACTCGAAAGCAAGCTGCTTTTCACGTTTCCTGGCCTCTTCATTGAGACGTCTTTGCTCCTTATCCCGATCCTTTTGCATTTGAAAGTCTCGCACACGCGGGTCACGCCGATATACAAAATCTACGAGTTCGCGCACTTCCGTTACAAACGCCTTCTTTACAGTCTCCCGCAACTTCTTGTTCTCCTTCTCCATTGCTCGCCTTATTAGTCGCGTTGGTGCATCGGTCGTCTTGTATTCGTCCGCCCACGCAAAGCTTCGCTGTGTCGTATAGCACTTCCAGTACTGGTAGAAGTAACTAATAGCTCCCATTGACGATTCAGCATTTCCGAATTCGGGTGCAGCTCCGGATCGCAATTCATCGTCTACTGCCATATCCAGTCCATCAATCTGATCAAAAATAAATCCGTTTTAACCATCGTTTTGTTTGTAAAATGCTAAGTCGACGAAAGGTGCACCTTTTTGAAGAGTTCCCCGTACACTGTGAAAAAGCTCTTGCTATCTGAACCAAAGCCTGAATAGACGGAAGCGTTGAAGTAACGGATAATATTGAACTGACTTTCGCTCTCTTCGTTACTGTTAGCTTCTCCGCTCTGTAGAATCTGCTCGCGGTGTTCGTCATACCATTTCTTCTCGTGTGGGTCACTGAGCACCTCGTAGGCGTTTTGTATGGTCTGAAAGTGTTTCGTGGCCTCTTCGCTTGTGATTCCGTTTTTCTGGTGCTTGTCTGGATGCCAGCGCAATGCCTGGCGACGAAAAGACAATTTTATCTCGGCTGCTGATGCATCACGCCCAATGGCCAGCACCTCGTAGTGGCAAAGCATCCAGTAAAAAATTTAATTGTATACAATTCGCTATTGTTTGATGTATCATCACGCTGATATCGTACTTAGGAGTAGATTACAGCAAACTGTGCTGATATAGAATAAGCTTCAGTACCTTCGGGCTTTGAACAATAGTATAATTAGGGACGGATCCATGAAGATCTCTTCTGCCGATAATAGCTACATTTACGCCTTATTGTTACTGATGGACGTTAGCGCGGTCCCAAGGATATAATTGAAGCAGGCCTTCTGTAACGAGCAAGTGCATGTTGGTGTACATAACCTTTTCACATTTGGTACAAATGTATCAACTACGGCATGAAATCGTGAATATCCTTAGGTATCGATATATCGGTACTTATGACAATGACAGAAGTCAGAAAATGAAGTTTTATATGACAGGAAAAGTAAAGCAAATAAATATATTATCAGTTTAAACAGAAATAATCCTTGAATGTACTTTTGAAATAGCAACGCGAACTTACAGTGTTACTTACTTCAGAAATTTTCGGTTCTGGTCATGATTGAAGCGCACAAACTCGTCCTCAGTACGTTTGTTGACAGGGAATCAGAGAGTCAAACCTTTCTTGGTGCAAAATGCATGACAAGCCCGTTGAGGCTAGTTTCCCGCAATGTGTTATACAAAGTCTTCTTACTACAGCTTGTAAAAAAGATATCTTTCGTATCATTTTTAGGTAACTTAAGCTTTAAGTGAAACATTCCTTATTTGAGCAAGTGTATGTAATCGTTTTTTAGTTAGTTGTTAATTCTGCAACTTAGTGAAATCATCTCTGCGCACTGATTAAAGCAGACTTCAAGAGTCACAGCTTCCACAGTTTAAGGTGCGCATCAATCTTACTGTATAAAGTGCACCAGAAGCTTCAATTAGGCAATTATTGTGTGGCAAATGTACTTTCACACTATGCTACCTACAGTAAGGTCACACGATTAATAGTTAGAAAAAAGGTTATATGCAGGGTAACCGTAGCTGCGGGCTCTGTCTTGGAAAACGGAACGTCATAATACATCACCAAATCCTAAACTTTATAGAATTCGCTCTTCAATATTTTTAACTACGTACAGTGTCCTGTACTCAGTATTACATGAAGACAAATCTATGTAATTTCTGTATGCATCGTGGAAATTTATAGCAGGATGTAAGCTACCGCAACCCACACGCTAGGATTAAGTTTTCTCTAGCGCGGGATGCTGGTAGGTATCCGACCCATTTGGGACCGGGTTCCGTACCCCTCATTACTCTATGTTTATTTACAGTCGGTCGGGCCTCCCCTCCTCCCAACCAGCTATCACACACTCAGTTGGGTGCAGGTTGGCAGGGCGGTCACACGACAGGGATGTGATTGCTTGACCACTCTGGTGACCTATTTCCGGCGTCCCTGCTTCGGATCCTATGAGTATCGAACCAGGTACCTCCCGGTCCCAGACCAAGCTACAATCCACTCGAGCCAAGCATCGGTGAAATTTATAGCAAAAGAGAACAGGTTTACGGTGCCCTCCCATCTTGTGTGACATCTGATTTGAAGCCATAAATATTCTGTGTAATACAGAGTCCTGGTTCCTACTTGGGAATTCATAGTGGCGACGAGACCGACGTGTATCTGTCTTCTGAAAGCATTTGGCATATTTACTTCTACTTGGAACTTTAAATTAAAGTTCAAGTTGAAGCTTTTCAAAGCTCAAGCTCCATACACCTAAGATCTTGAGTAATCTCAAGCTGAGGTTCAACCTCAGTACTCCCTTGAATGTATAAATCAGAGTCATAAGATCCCAAGGTCTTATTAGTAAAACGTCTAGAATCCATTGGGGTGTTTTGGAGTGTGGCTCAAGAAACCAAAACTCATTTTGATGCAGTTGCAAACTTGCCATCAAGGTTTTAAGCCGTTTTTCTTCCATACAAGTCGGGACTGTTGCTCTTTTTCCACGTCGAAAGATCGCCTCCATGTGTTGTATTGTGTTTGAGAAATGTAGTGAGCAGCGCCCTTATATACCTGGTAACACCTCTAGCGGGCTTTCAACGACATTCGATGTTGATTTAATAAAGAAGCTAGTAAGCACTTAGCGCATGCTTTATCAAGCCATACTCTTGTTCTTGTCCGAGCGACGTGGAGGTAGTTGAAGCAATTCTCGGTCCATCAGTACCACAAAATTGATCTGACTTCCGGGAATGGCCTGCATGAGCAGATGGTACTGTAGTGCCATCCGCTCATGCAAGATTCTTTCGGAAGTCAGCTTATCGCAGCCGTCTTCTTCAAATGATTCGACAAACGAGGCCGTAAGCTACATATATTAGATTATTATGGAATCCGGAAGCGGGCCGCTACCCTTTTTTCTTCTAATCAAATAATGCTCTCAAAGTTGAGCGTGTATTATACCAAAAAGCCTATTTCATGATGGTTTGTTGGGTTAGACGCAGCAACCACTGCAATGCAACTGCGAGAGCTTTGCATCAAGTGTTGCTCGCGATGTTCAACAGTGCAGGTCGTACAAAGCGTCGGGCGTTTAATAGACGTTTAGCCGATAAAAAGTGCTTTCTCAGCTACGAAGACTTCCGGATTGAGCTAAAAAAGCGTTTCATCAGCAAAAAGTGACTTCCGTGACCGTGCCGAGTTTTGGCCTTCGTCAAGGTTGTTACAACCTACACTCATGTGGGCAGCGTCTTTGTAACTTATTATTGAGAATTAGGGACAAGCCAGTTGACATTTTGACTCAAGTTATAGCGTTCGTGGCGTATCATTTTCTCTACCTTTCGCATGCTAAGTAAGAACGGACAATTCGTATCAACTATTCTATTAAAACTAAAAGACGCTGAGCGAAGCCATCAAACCGTGCAGGGTAAAAAAGAGTTCAGCTTCAAGTAAGCCAAGTTCAATGGCTTCGTACCGAGACAGGCGCGTTTGTCGACTGCTCAACTAAATGGCACTGAGATAATAGACATCTTATACCGTTTAACACCTGGATATAAGCTTCCTCGCAACGAAGGAAGTGCTTCCGTAATAGGAAGCTGAAAATATTGCTCGAATCTGCAGAGCGTCTTTGCCGATTCGGCAACAGATACATGGTGACCGCGGACGTTGGGACAATCGTCGGTTCAAACTCTTCCAAGGATAAAAATCCGGAACAACTAGTAGGGGTGAGGGCTCCCTTTTGGGTCTGAGGAGGGTACTGTCTATGCTGTGATTATACAGAACTCTGGCCCTATTGTGCTTAACGCACACGCAATATTTTACTAGTAGTGATAATAGTGTCAGGTAAAGTGCAACAAAAATGCTTAGGGATTGTTTTAAGAGACCACCAAGACCTTTGATTGAAGCTGGCGCGTCGAACAAATTTGTTCGAGCGCAAGTTATGACTGGGCATGGTGTTAGCCTGTCCAATGTGAGGAGAGAAATGGTCATTCATTAAGCAAATTGATCAACAATGAAGATCAAGTCATTTGCTAGATAATGAAGTTTGAGGATCTACGTGGTGAAGACCATTTTTGTGCTTGGACCTCGATGGCAAGTTTGATAATATCATAGGTATGTCATCATCAAAACGTTCTCAGCAGGGAGTGACAGGACGAATTATAAAGATCTTCGTTTACTAGTTGTGCAGCACCAATTTGATCTGCGTGACGACAAACAAAATGTTAATGGTGTACGCTTTTATTACAGAAATCACAGTTTCCTAAGTGATATCGTGGTGATGCTTACAGTACAAGCCAAAGAAAAGTTAAAAAAAAAAATGACACCAACTAATGACGAAGCAGTCAGGCGCCACAACGAATTGTTTTTTTGCCATCGGCATTGAAGACATGAACGATAGTAGTATGAAGAATAGTGAGATCAAATGCAAAGATTCATCCCAAGAGAAAAATAAGAAGGCTACCAAGAAGAGTTTTCCGTCAAGTATTTTGCATGCCCCTGATCTAGGTACAAGTTGTTTTGATGAAGGAAGTGTCTAAAAACAAGACACTTTAAACGATCTCGCAAATGTTTTGGTCTACAACCAAGAAACTGATCTTATTAGTCGCGCAGATCAGTCAAAAATAGTTTTTCACTGATGGTAAAGCCTAGCCTGGCAAAAAGCGAAATTTCGCACATTGTGCGTTCAACGATGGCATCAATTGCGGAAATATTTGACGAGATGACACGTGAGAAATAGTTTAATGAGCAGTCGCGGGACGCAATAAGGTCAAATTTCGTGTATGGATATGTCAAGGAATAAATTGTTATATTCTTAGACAAGGTGCCCGACGAATTGCCATCTGACAGAGGTATTCGTCACGGGAAAAATGTATACCTCCGAGAACGAAGAACTGTATCTCAAGGCAATGGCCGCTGTCAAAACAACAAGTCATTGCGATCGACGAGCTTTCTTTGCAGCGACAGATGGCTGGTCGTGTGCTCAACGTAAGCCTCTGCATTATAGCCCCACCTTCTGTGTCGTACAGGCAACAAGTAAATGCCACATTGTCTATGCTTTCGATAAGTTAGATGATGCAATCACACCAGCTCAGACTCCGGCATCACGCAAGGAAGTAATCCTTGATGATATGATTGATAGTATCTTTTAATGCGATCTACCTGAACGATGGTCTCTATCTGGTACGTGTTGCCACAAGGTTTGAAAGCTCCCATGAATTTCGACAGAATGGTCACAAATATTCTGCGTCCATTTAAAGAGTTTGCACAGGGCTACTTTAATGATATGTTTCTTCATAGTAAGAGAACAGGTTAGAAGTCTGATGTCGATGTTTATCTTGGTCGTCTTCGTCGAGTCTACCAAATTATGCGTGAAAATAAATTCCACAAGAGTGCATTTTCTTCGCGCCTGAGATCCCCGTGATCGGTTGCTTTGTGGGCTAGAATAACGTTCATGTAGACCCGGAAAGGCAAAGCTATCAATAGCTCGACAATGCCAAACAATATGAAAAGCTGATGTGATTGGCTAGGCTCGGCCAACTTTTTGCATGAACACACTCAGGATTATGCAGCGTT